TGTGTGTGTGTGTGTGTGTCCCCTGTGCCATCAAGGTGGGACCGACTTGCAGCAACCCGAATAGGGTGTGGCCATGTGAGGATTCGAACCCTGTCCTCCAAAACCCCAAGTCCATCACGCTATCTATCCACCACACCACTGTGGAGGATCAGCCGGCCCTGTAAACCCTCCTGAAAGGTGGGTGTGGGTGGTTCAGGGCTGTGCTGAGGACCCAACCCCACCAACAGACCGGGGGGCATGGATCAAAACTCAGGGCCAGAGGTGGGTGTGGGTGGTTCAGGGCTGTGCTGAGGACCCAAGCCCACCGACAGACCGGGGGGCATGGATCAAAACTCGGGGCCAGAAACTCAGGTTCAGACAGAGAGTGGACTCAGCGGGGGTGGGGGGAGGCTGGTGAAGCCGACTCTTCAACCCCCCCCCAACGAACTGGCAGGATGGGGTGCCCAACCCCAATAAAATCTGGTCCCGGTGGTGGTTCAGGGCTGTGCTGAGGACCCAAGCCCACCGACAGACCGGGGGGCATGGATCAAAACTCGGGGCCAGAAACTCAGGTTCAGACAGAGAGTGGACTCAGCGGGGGTGGGGGGAGGCTGGTGAAGCCGACTCTTCAACCCCCCCCCAACGAACTGGCAGGATGGGGTGCCCAACCCCAATAAAATCTGGTCCCGGTACCTCTGGGAAGTCTGGACGGAGGAGAGACTCCCCACGGTGCCCATCTTGGGCAGGGTGGCAGCGCCCACACCTGGGGGAGCCTTTTGGCCATCAAAGAGCCCCAGGGGCAGGAAACCATTGCCCCCTCCTCAGGCCCATGAAAATCCTTTGGCCCTTTCTTAAGGCACTGGCTCTTTTTTAAGGCACTCATTCTTTTTTTTCCCACAGAGAGCAGGAAAAGAGCCATCCAGACACGATCCACCTTGCCACTGTCACCCCCCCCCACTGTCACCCCCCCTCTCAAGGCGCTGGGGGCAGCTGTCCCACAAAACCCAGGAAGCAGCGAGGGTCCATCAGAAAAATGCCAAAACCAACGGACAAGGAAAGAGGTTTGGAGCAGAGCATCTACCGACCAAGACACACATATATGGAGACACTTTCAAGACACCTCGGCTCTTTTGTTTTTGTAAGACTAGAGGTTACACAAAGCTGGGGCATGGAATGGGGAAGTGGGGCGGGGAGGAAGCAGGGGAAAAGTAAATTCACCTTCAAATCATCACATCTGCCCACCATCCACATCTTCAGACATACTGTAGGTCTGAAAAAGTGGACCACGTTCCACAGAAGCTCACATGAAACTATAGCAAGTTAGTCTTTCCAGCGCCATCGTGTCCTTTTTCTGCTTCCGTGCGCAGGCGTACACACGCACACGTGTCTCAGCAAAGCCTGAGGCTAATTTTGGAAGGGGCATTTGGTACAAAAAATGTCAACAGAAGCTGACCCGAGCAGAGTCACACTCCAAAGACTGAAGTCTCCTCTTCGGAGCTGGCAGGACAAAGAGGTATTTTCCACCCCAGTCCTATGATGGAGGCCGCTGTCAAACGTCTCGCTTAGGGACAGGTGGGCCTGCCAGGGTGCCCAGCATGCTAGGCTCCACGCCGCCTGCCCCCCCTTTTCTTTGCACCCTTTTCCATGGGCATCCATAGGGGGTGTGGCACTCCCTGCATGATGCTCGCAGGATGCTCTGGCACCCGGGGCCTCGGCAAGGGGCCGACGTGGGCAGCGAAGACGGACAAGGTCGGCGGGCAGATGCCTCTTCAGGTCCCCAGGACCGTTTCCTGCTGGCGCTTCTGCCTCTTCCTGCCACGCTGAGTTTTGGTTTCCTGTACACAGGAAAGAACGGGTGAGCCAGAATGAGACCAGAGAATGGGTACCCTGTGCCCATTCTCCAGCGATCCCTGCCCCACAGGAGAAATGGGGGGAACTGAAGCATTTACAAGGAACCGACCTACATAGTTGGTTTGAAACCAGGCCTTTCCAGGCCACCTTTATTCTGCTCAATTTAAGTGGCCGTCTGATCTGGAAAACCCTGGCGTTGCCTTCCTTCACCTCGTTAAGGAGGTAAAGCCCACTCATAGAATAACGGAAGGAGCGTACAAGACCACTGAGTTCCAACCCCTTGCTCAAGGCAGGAATCCAAACCAAGGTAGATCCAACAGAGGGTTGGTCCATTTTCTCTTGAAGGCCTTCAGCGCTGAAGCCCTCCCCACCTCCCCATGAGGTCATGGGTACTGTTCCTTGTACTGCTCTAACCGTCAGGAAGTTTTTCCCTGCTATTCAGCCGAAACCTGGCTGGCTGTGGCTTGAGCCCCTCGTTGCATGTCTTGCTTGTGCTCTGGGATGAGTGAGAACAGATCCTGCCCCTCTTGTGCATGACAGCCTTCCGAGTCTTTGAAAAGTGCTACCCCATCTCCCCCCCTCCCAACCTTCTCTTCTCAAGGCTAAGCGTGTCCACTCCTTTCCGCTCTCACCTTGCACGGATGTTTCTTGACACGGAAGAACTCGCTCATCTTCCGCTGCCTGGGGCTGCTCCGGATCACGGGGATCGGCCCCTGGGGCTGGGCGCGCTTCAGGCGGGTCTCCCGCCACTTCTCCATCCGACGCCGAACCCGGGTCTCACTGCGGGACAAAGGACTGGAGTCAAGAGTCTCTCTCTGCCCACGTGGCAGAACCGGAGGCTGGGGCAAGTGGGGGGGGGCGAGGAGGCTCGGAGGCCCCGCAGAGATGAAAGAAAAGGGCTGGCTGTTTGTGGGATGCTACGAGGCTCTCAGCAAAAATCCGCCTTGTCCTGTTCCGTGGGTGGGACGGAAATGGTCCCAAGCAGCTTCTGGAGACGCCCATGTGCTCAAAAGTTGGAAGACACCCCCCACACAAAGAGAGCGAGTGTCCTGCCCCACCCCAGCCTTTGGACTCTTGGACGTTGGCCCCCGCCTCTCAGGAAGGTGATCTGGCCTCCTCCTTAGGCCAAACCTGCCGTGCTCAAGGGGCCAGGAGAACCCCATGGGGTCCCATTCGCCTGCCTTTGGTCCCCCTCTCCCCAAGGGGGCTGCCTCCGGGGATCCTGGACTACAGCTCCCATCGTCCACCCCCCCACCTAATGGCCCCTTGGCCCAGTTGTTCTCTCTTTTAGCCAGACCTACTTCGCAGGACTGTTGTTTTTAGAATAATGTCAGGGGTAGACCTGTCGCTAACAAGTTAATAATACTAACGGTAACAAGAAGAAGAAGATAGTAATACAGTAGCAATAAAGGTCGTTGTCAACACAAGGCAAACTTGACCGGTGGGTCTGGGCAAGAAAAGGACGGTGCTTCGTACACAGCCTTCCTGGTGCGGGAACGCTCTTAGCCCAGCACTTGGAAAAGTTACTTTTTTGGTCGTGCCGGAAGGAGCCCCAGAAGCGACTTTTCCGAGGTCCAAGCCAGTTGGTTCGAGTGGGGCAGGGGTCCTGCCAAAGCACCAGCACTCACTTCATGTGCTTCTCGTGAGCAAGGAACTGCACCAGCTTCTCCTCGTCGGGCTCCCGCCACTCCAGGAGGACCTGGCTCGGCTCGGCCACCTCCGGCTGCAGGAAGAGTCGGCGGGTCTCCTCCAGCTGCCAGTTGGCGGGTGAGGGGTATTTCTGCACAGAAGGGGATGGCGGGGTTTAGCTGGCGGGAGGGGCCGGGATCCAGCCTTCGCCCTCACCCCACATGCTACCCCCTATCACCCCCTCAAGGCCAGGCCTTGCCAGTTCGCTAGAGAGGACCCCCTTCTTCTCCCCTAGGGAGCTGCCAGTTATGGGGAGTGAAGGAGAGGGGCAGCCAGGGTGGGTTTCAAAAGAAGCGACGAAGCGGGACCAGCCCCAAACACTTCTCCGGCCCCACCGCGCATTTGCACAGCGACCAAGGAGGAGCCAACGTGGTCCGATCCTAGAGGCAGGATCCCAGGCATCCCCAAAGCAGAGGCATCTAAGAGAGGAAAGGGACTCTAGAGGCCATTTAGTCCAGCCCCCTCCTGAGGCTGGAAAACTGAAGCAGCAAAAGCCTCATCAAACAGAAATCTTTAAAGGAGGCGACCCCTCCACCTTCCGAGAAAGTCGAGCAGCTCTCGTTGGGACGGCCTGTCTCCAATTGCAGAGCGGGAACCTCCTTGTTCACAAGGAGAGAAAAGGTGCCTTTCTTGACCGGCCAGGACGGACACACATTTTCCCAGCCCCGCCACCCCCCCGGCACAATGAAGCTGCCAGGCTCTCTCGGCCACAGCTGCACCTCCTGCCGCGAAGGACGGAAGGCCCCCCCGCCCTGCCCTGCTTGGTACCTCTCGGCAGGGGCCCTCCAAGATCCGTTCGATGCTTCCGTGTTCCTGCAGCAGCTTCAGAGCCTTTTTGGGGCCCAGGCCCCGGATCTTGTCACAATAATCACAGCCCAGGAGGATGCAGAGGTCTACAAACTGAAGCATGAGAAAAGGAGGAAGTTTGGAGGAGGAAGGAATCCCCTTCCCGTCTTGGCTCTGCAATGCCACGTTTCCCACAGCCCCACCGGTGGAAACCCAGCGGGGAACCACAAGCTCCCCAAAATCTGTACCCACCCAAAGCGCCACAGCCAATCATCCCCCACCTCCTGCAACCGTGATGGGGGTGGGATGGGGGGGGGAAGGAAGGCTGGCTGGAGCTCTAGCAAAGATAGCAGAAGACGCCAAAGTGAAGCAAGGTAACATCGCCGGACGTGACGTGCACATTCGGTCCGAAGGAATGACCTGGATGCTCTCCTCGGAGAGTCCACCAAAAGAGAAGACCAGCGGATCCCGTGGAACGTGGGCACGCTACCCGTCCCCTCTCTCCCACCTCCAAAGATGTGCACAGAAGGCTAACGGACCAGGCGATCTGCTCATCCTGGTGCACCGTCAGTCTGGGCCTGGCCCAGCCCACCTTTCAGAACCTGGCATTGTCCAGCTGCGCCCTCGCCCGGCCGCTGGAAACACGTCCAAGGCTTACAAGAAAGAAGGTGGCGATGGGGTGGGGGGAAGGAGGGCAGCCAACTCTGGGGCCGGAGGGGGGACAGAACCAAGGAGGAAGTACTAAGGAAGACGAGAGGGGATTTATGAACGGTGGCCACCTCGTTTTCTTAGCCTTTTCTAGATCATATAAAGAGAGGTTTCCCTTAGCCCAGTCTTTTGCCTGGACGAAGGCGGTTATAATAAAGCTCAACGTAGAAAATTAGATGATCCTGGTCCTCCCCCAACCACTCGTTGTTCCCCAACACCCCCATACCTGCTCATGAGTCAGGCCCAGCTTCTGCAGAACAGCAGGCAAAGAAATCTCTTCCAGGACACTAGAAAAGACATTCGGTCTCATTATTCAGTCAGGAAAGGAAGGTGCATGTTCCTGCGCATGCCACATCCCCCAAAGACCAACCGGTTTTTGCTCTTGTGTTCCAGGTCCCAGCCTTGGAACAAGCAAAACCGAGCAGGCTCACCCGTGTTTTGCGTTCAGATGGCGCAAGAGGCGCACGCTCCCAAAGGGCAGGGCATCCAGATCTTCCGTGGCTGTGCACGAGGCGTGCCCGGACTTGACCAAAGCCGCACAGGTAGCTTCCGCCTCTGACGGAGCCTGAGACCCAGACAAAGCAAGGGGGGGGGGAGAGAAAAGCCCTTCCGGGTAGAGGAAGGGCCAAAGCAGACGGCATGCATTTGGAACACGAAAATATCTCTCTCTCTGCTAGACTTGGATTTCCCACTTGGCTGCTCCATAATTTTAGCTCAGTTTTTCTGCTATCCTGGTGCCCTTCTGAGGAGCAGGACTATAAACTCCATCATCCCCAGCCAACATAATCAATAGGGTAATGTGACTTCTTGGA